CCCGCCACCATGCCTGGCTAATTTTTGTATTTTTAGTAGAGACGGGGTTTCATCATACTGATCAGGCTGGTCTCAAACTCCTGACCTCAGGTGATGGACGCGCCTCGGCCTCCCAAAGTGCTGGAATTACAGGTATGGGCCACCACACCTGGCCTTGTTAGTCTATTATTAATTAGTGAATGTAATAGATGCAGCTTCCAGGTGTAGAGCTAACATTTTGTCTTTAAGTAGACGTTATTTTTTGTCTTTTAAATTGGTCCTATTTAACTATTCTTCAGTTTTCATGCCACCCCAAACTTAAAAGTTTCAGGAACTGGAAACATTGATAAAAAGTTTTATTCAGAGATTTAGATTTCTGCTTTTACTCACATAACTTAATATGACATAAAAATTCTTCACAAATGTATAAATATTGTTTGTGGTATTTATATGTTTTATGTTAATTTATTTCTTAAAGTATCTCTTATCGTTTACTGCACTCAGGGGTCAACTATCAACATGTGAATTACCCTTGAAAAATTTTTGGGCCTGGTTCTTCCTAATCAGAAAACCTGTGGGTTGTGTTAATGAATTCATGCATGCTTGGAGACTTTAAATCAACTACAGTTGTAATTAGTAATTACAACTAATTATGAAAGAGAGTTATATTTTAAAAAGTCATTTACTGTATTGCAGAGCCAAACGTACATGGTTCCTGAGCGAGCCCCTGACCCCTGCAGCCTCTGCAGTTCCCCTGTTGAGTTTCTTTACGACTTTTTATCTCTGCTAGGGTCCTTACCGCTTTATACTGTGCGTTGTATTTATCTTTAATTATCAGCTTCTCCTGTACTTAACTGCACACACAGTCTTTGAAGGAAAGTGTGTAATGTGTCCGACGTTTGGGTTTTTTCATACCCAAAAACTCTTAGCAGTGTCTTCCTGAGATCCACACATAATAAATGTTCCCTCAGACTCTGCTCAACCAACCATATTGAGCTTATTCTATGTGCCAGGCTTTGTAGCACTAGTGGGGAGCATCTTCCCTCAAGGTGCTCCGAGAAGGAGGCAGACGAGTAAACGTTATGTGATTGCAGCGGGGGCTCCCTCCTTTCACAGGAAGGAGGCTCTGCAGTGGAGTTCAGAGTGAGGATACTTCTCAGGGAGTTCCTTGGGCTCACTGCCTGGGAAAGGGTGGGGAGGAGGCAGAATGGGGCTGAGAGGAGGAGCTGAGCTGTGAGGCAGGCCCCACAGCCGACTCTCCAGGACCCGGGAGTTGTGAGCTGGAATGGCCTCCCAGAATCATGTGGCCGGGCCTTTATACCCCATATCCCGTCAGTCACTGAGCATGAGTGTGCCCAGGAGGTCATTGCCTGCGGGGAAGCAGGTCCCGCGGCTCTGCCTGCACCACCCCTGCAGCTGGGCCCCGTCCACCAGGGTCATCGTGCAGAGGACGAAGTGTGGTGTCAGGATGTGCACAGGGCTTGTGGGAGCTCAAAGGATGGAGGCAGCTTGGGGGGTGGAGTGCAATGGGGACATCTTAAGGAGGCAAAAGACTGAGATGGAGTTAGATGGTCAGAGGGAGCAGCACCTGGGGGTGCCCAGAGGCACATTCGGAGCTGTCAGTGGGTCTGATGTTGAGGGAGACAGGTGAGGCAGGCCCTAACGAGTCTCTGTGCTAAAGGGTGTGGACATTAGTGTAAAGGTGGTCACGAGCCATTGCAGGATGTTGAGCCGAGGAGTAGTGCATCTTGTCTGTGATGTAGATGGGTCAGTGTGCTAGTGGTGTAAGTTGGGAACAGAGGAAGGGAGGCTGGAGTCAGGGAGAGCCGTTAGGTGGCTTCTGGAGTGACTGACGTGAACTACCAGGATCTGAACAAAGGCAGCATCACAGGTATAGAGGCTAAAGGGGTAGAACTTTAAAAACCCAGCAGCTCATCGATTATAGGAGCGGTGGGAGGGAGGAGCCTAGGTTGGCCTCTGGCTCCACCAGCATGTCTGGTTGGTGACTGGGCACCATTTGCTAGATGAGAATAAGAGTGGGGAGGGATGGGAGCAGCCCAGTGTGGTCCAGTGAGGACAGGCTGAGCTTGTGGTGCCCGTGGAGATGCCCAGGAACCAGGGGCCTCCATAGCAGAAACCCCAGATGGAGGTAAGGATTTGAGAGTCATCAACTAAGAGGTGACATTTGCAGTCCTGAATGTGGACAGAAAGAGAGCATTGGAAAGGAGGCTAATAGCACGGCCACATGCTGACTTTGATGATGTGGGTGTGGCAGATGGAGCAATTGTGGGCATCTCTCTGTTACAAATACATAGGCCATATAAAGGAAAAAATAAAACTAAGTATAGTTTTTAAAAGGAAAGGAAAATCTCTAAATGCCATAAACAGGAGAGAGCTTAAAGTTAGTGTCATAAGCTTTTGAGCTGCTGTGTGATTGCTTGGAGGCTGGATGTGAAGCCCAGGCTATCTCAGACCTTCTGAGCTGTCTCTGGGGCTTGAGCCCATGCAGAAACAGGTGATGCATTGGGTTTGCCTGAGGCAAGGAGGTAGAACTGAGACCCCTGCACAGGACTTTCAAACTCACTGCTCCTGCAGTGATAGGGAAATTCAGAAAGCCTCCCCACAGCCAAGAGAAGACAGAGGAGCTTGGAAGAGCTTGAAGTCCTAAGCTGAGTGTATGTATGGCAACCTACAAGCTGAGATGTGAACATCACAGTTCTAGACCAGTGGCCTCAGTGGGTTCATAGTTAAAGTAGACACAAAACCTCCTGGTGGGTAAAGATAGTTTGCAAGTGGGGGCTCACAGGATTCTCATGAGAAGCAGTCTGCTGCAGATGAGTTCACAACTACAAGCATGAAGAAACAGTGTACCTTGGTGCAAAAAGTAGGAGTCACACACTTAAGAACTTGAGACAGTTGTACAATCTAAAAGACATTTCTAGAAATGAAACTGTTATCTCTGAAATTTACAACCAAGTGAATGGTTACATAGCCGATTAGATATAGCTGAAGAAAGAATTAGTGAACAGAAGGATAAATCTGAAAAAACTATCAAGAGTGTAGTAGCAGAAAAAAATGGAAACAAAGAGTGGCTAAACCAGAGGAATGTGACATGGCCTGTTATATATCGAATGATGTATTGTAGTGCAAATCAGTGCTGATACCATCTTATTTTTAAAGTTTGAAAATAATCCGTCTGTTCGTCTTTGTTACTTTATTTTTTCAGTCTTTCCCATAAAGATAATGAATTTTGGGGGACTACACAAACACTGAATGTTAAATTTCTGCCTTCAGACCCTAATCACTTCATTGTTGGCACAGACATGGTGAGTAGTATTTTAAATTTAATTCTATTACTCATTTTCCTTCTTTTCCTGAGTTACCTGATAAATATCTTGATTTAGGATTAACTTACTCTTTGCTTTTTATAAAGTTTAAATTGTTTGAGGAACATTAACTGTATCCAATCTTGTATCTAATGCACTTCTTAGTCACTCTTGGGCTTCTTTTTCACAGGGTCTCATAAGCCATGGCACAAGACAAGATTTGAGAGTGGCTCCCAAACTATTCAAACCTCAGCAATGTGGTATAAGGCCAGTAAAAGTTAATGTCATTGATTTTTCACCATTTGGAGAACCAATATTTTTGGTAAGAAAGTTTGTTTTTTAAAGCACCAATTCTTTTTTTCTTTTTTTGAGACAGGGTCTTGCTCTGTCATCTATGCTGGAGTGCAGTGGTGTGATCGTAGCTTACTGCAGCTTACTGCTTACTGAACTCCTGGGCTCAAGTGACCCTCCCACCTCAGCCTCCCAAGTAGCTGGGACCACAGGTGCATGCCACTACACCTGGCTAATTAAAAAATACATATTTTTTTGTAGAGACGCCTAGGCTTACCAATTCTTTTTAATGATACTCTGCCTATTTGGGCAGCATAACACTTGCAGTTGATCCACTGGAAAATTTTAAAAGTTGATCATTTACTAGACCACTAATTGATCATTTATGGGGTGTCAGTGGTTTAGAAAGGAGAAACATGAAATTAATAACAAAGTTTAAAAACAAAACCTATGTAGAAATTAAACTCTCAAGTAATATTTGGTTCAATTACAAGTTAGTTAGAATTTAACAGAAGAATATCAAATACCAAAACCTATGCTACAGTCAAAAATGTGAAGAAATTCTTAGTGTGAGAATTTTTGCCTGTGTTCTTTTACTGTTTAACACAATAGAAATAAATTGTTCAGAGTCTTTAACCTGAAAGTCCAGGGATGGCCATCGGGAGGGCAGCAGTCCCCGCGCTGCACTCATGCTGCAGGAAGTGTGTGTGCGGGTGCGAGCTGCTCACTCTCTTTCCTTCCAGGGCCTGGTGTCTGCCCAGCTCACCCTAGTCACAATTGTCCTGTAGACTCCAAGGTCAGTTTATGGGTTGGTTGGGGTAAGATAGGACAGAAGGCAAAATATTAAACAACTTTATACATGATTAAATGTGATAGTTAAGAGTTATACAATAGTCAAGGCATTAAATTATAGCTCAGATATCTCCTTCTCTCACTAGTATTTACAAATTTCCCTGTACTTGAGATTGAGGGGAAAGATTGTTACTTATTCATTCTTATAGTACTTAAAGCATTATAAATTATGTTTATATGTCAGTCACATAAACTGTAAGGTTGTTGAGGGTGGAGATGGTATTTCATGTATCTTTGTATTTCCAAAGACAGCATTTAGCTGCTGAGTAACATCTCCCTGTGGCTGTTGAGAGCCTAGAATGTGGCCAGGCAAGGCTGGGATGTGCTGGAGGTGTGAAATACACATCAAATTTTGAAGAATTAGTGTGAATAAAAGAATGTAAAATGTCTCATTAGGCCAGGCATGGTGGCTCACGCCTGCAATCCCAGCACTTTGGGAGGCTGAGGCAGGCGGATCACCTGAGGTTGGGAGTTCGAGACCAGCCTGACCAACATGGAGAAGCCTCATCTCTACTGAAAATACAAAGTTATCTGGGCACGGTGGCTCACGCCTGTAATCCCAGCACTTTGGGCGTCCCAGGCAGGTGGATCACCTGAGGTAGGGGCAAAACCCCGTCTCTACTAAAAATACAAAATTAGCCCAGCATGGTGGCACATGCCTATAATCCCAGCTACTCGGGAGGCTGAGGCAGAAGAATCACTTTAACCCAGGAGGCAGAGGTTGTGGTGAGCCGAGCTAGTGCCATTGCACTCCAGCCTGGGCAACAAAAGCGAAACTCCATCTAAAAACAAAAACAAAAAAGTCTCATTAACAATTTTGTTGTTGGCGACTTCCAGTGTAGAGCTCTTGAGCTTTTTATGAATTCTCTTCCCACAAAAAACTAAAACCAAATACATAGCACCAAGATCTTCACCAGTAAGAACTTAGAGCTCAAGTGTGAAGACAACACAGTTCCTGGGGCCACAGAGAGTAGAAAAGCTCCAAGCAAATGGGAGGAGAACTCGGCTTCCATATGCACAATGTCCCTTCCCCCTTATTTGGCCTGGCACCAAGTGTGTGGAAAATCTCCCCTTAACTCATGGTTTCTATCTGGAGAAAGTAAAAGTGAGGTGGACAACCAGTTTCTCTACTTTCTTGGGTGCCCTGTCCCTGCCTTGGCCCATGGAGAGCATCCCGAGTGCCCGAAGGGAGAAATACCCCTGAGGCCACCCAGAAACAAAGCTGGGAGGCGCGACTACTGTCCCCAGCCCTGGAAACTCTGCACCTCAGCCACAGGAGGCACTCAGTCGGACTGGCCGCTCACAATACCATGCTCCAGAAGGTTTGTTCCACAGGTCTTCTGAACACGAACCCTGACACTGTCAGGACAAACCATTTGAGGCTTCCCTCATTTGGGACAGGCCTCCCTCAATCACTAAATACAGCTAAGGTGAACCTCGTCTTAAGGTGACACCGATAGCTGAAAAGGAGGCAGCAACCTAGCAGTGAAGATTTGCTAAGTAAATATATTCAATAAAAACCAAAACAAGCTGGACAGAGAAAACTGGAATAAATTACTAATCCTGCAGTGCAAGGACACAGACATACACCCACAAGAAACAGCAGCAAACAGGGAACCATGACCTCCCCAAAAGGACAAAGCAAAAATCCAGTGACTGACCTAATGAGGCAGTGATTTGTGAGCTCTCTAAGAATTCAGAAGAGCAATTTTAAGGAAACTCTGTGATCTCCAAGACAACACAGAAAAGCAAATCAGAAATTTATCAGAGAAATTTAACAAAGAGATTGAAATAATTTAAAAATCAAACAAATCTTGGAACTGAGAAACATATTTGCTGACCTGAAGAAATTCATTATAGGCTCTCAGCAGCAGAGTAGATTAAGTAGAGGAATGAATTGGTGAGCTCAAAACAGGCTATTTGAAAATACACAATCAAGGCTGGGTGCAGTGACCCATGCCTGTAATCCCAGCATTTGGGAGGCCAAGGAAGGAGGATCTCTTGAGCCAGCCTGAGCAACATAGGGAAACCCTATCTCTATAAGAAAATTTAAAAATTTGCCAAGAATGGTGGCATGTGGAGGCAAATGGAGGCTGAGGCAGTAGGATCACTTGAGCCTGGAAGGCCAAGGCTGCAGTGAGCCCTCATTGTGCCATTGCCCTCCAGCCTGGGTGACAAAGCGAATGCTGTTTCTAAAAGGAAAAAAGAAAGGAAATATACAGTCAGAGGAGAAAGAAAGAACAAAAAGGAATGAAGACTACCTACAAGACAGAGAAAATAACCGCAAAAGACCAAATCTAAGAATTATTGGTATTCAATAGGGAGCTAACAAGGGTTAGAAAATGTATTCCAAGAAATGATAACAAAAAACTTGCCAAAACTTCATCGGGAGGTCAATATCTAGGTATAGGAAGGTCAGCGAACATCAAACAGATTCAACCCAAATAAGATTACCACAAGGTATTTAATAATCAAACAAAAGTCAAGGAGAAAGAGAAGATCCTAAAAGCAGTGAGAGATAAGAAGCAAATAACATATAAAGGAGTTCCAGTTCATCTGGCAACAGACATCTCAGTGGAAACCATATAGGCCAGGAGGGAGGAGAGTGACATTTTCAAAGTGCTAAATGAAAAACACTGCTATCCAAGAATACTGTATCCAACAAAACTGTCATTCAAATATGAGGGAGGGTTAAAGTCTTTCCCAGATACACAAAAGCTGAGAGAATTCACAATCCTCAGACCCATCTTGCAAGAAATGCTAAAGGGAGGCTGGGCATGGTGGCTCATGCCTGTAATCACAGCACTTTGAAGGTCAAAGTGGGTGGATCA